AAAAAATCTTTCTACATGAATATTTCACGAGATTTATTCGATTCTACTATGAGAAGAGTTTTGATTTGGTTATTCTTTATCAATTATTTGATATGATATCATAGTTTTACTTCATATAAATCATAAATATATCAACCGTACCCATTTTCAATAAGAAAAAAAACAAGACATGAAAATTTGAAATACTTCTCTTTGCTTTAAATTCTATAATAAAACAGACAAATTTTAAATGGTTATATTAAAGATTAATAATCTCATATCGTCTATTATATAGATATGAAAAAGAAAAAATAATATTAAAATAATAAATAATTACCATCAGTATATAAACTACTTTTTTTCATTAAATTAATAATACGAAAACGATAAGTTATATTAGCAATCATATTTTGTACACGAAAATAATACCATTGTGTATGTCTTCGAGTATAAAGATCAGGTCGAAGAATAAGTTCATATTCAAATTGTCCTCTAAAACAAATAAATATTTATATAATAAACAATATATATTGTTTCTATTCTTACACACGTCTAACTTGTCGTAAATTTCCACCTTCAAATCTTGATTCAAATATTAATTGAGGAGATATTTGATCATTATCAGATTGTTTTATTTGTTGATTTCTTGATGATTTATCCATATCATAAACAATAATTGGATGTTTTAATATATCTCGATATTTATAAATAGCTGGTTGATTATCATATGTTTGTCGATTATTTATTCCTAAAAATTGATAATATTCTTTGGAATTTTTTATATTAAATGTTCGTGATAAATTTGAAAGTGTTCCATGTTTAATTGGATAATCAGTTGGCCAAAATGGACCTAACTGATAAACATAAATATTCCATGATGAAAAAAATAATATACGATTATTATGTAAAAATCGTTTTGTTGAATTAATTATATATCCATATTGTTCATTATTCTTATGATAATCTTCTCGACAATCAATTGATTGTCCATAACGCATTATTCTTTTTTTTCTTTTTACTTAACTTCAATTTCATCTAGTATTCTCATTGTTTTTTTCTTTTCATCACATTATTAAACAAACTATCAAACTCAAAAACAAACATTACATTTTCAACATTTTCTTCTTTTTCTTTTTTTTTTCTTACTTGACATTGATGATGACAAATAAAATTCTTTTGGTGTCAATTCACGACTCAATAATTTCGGTGTTGGATGAAGAATACGATAATTTTCTGGTCAAAATGGACCATCTTCATCAATTATAATTCCATGTTTATTAACATAAGTATTTGTTGAATGTCCATCTAATAATTGTTGATCAAATATATTTAAAATAGTAGCTTTATTAGATTTAATAATACTATTTCCATATAAAAGTGTTGAATCATTATTAATTGACATAAAAGATGATTGTTTATTGATATATTTATTAATATAAATTGATGGATTAATATTTATTTGTTGATCTGTATTTATTGATAAATCTGGTAGAGGACGATAACTATGATAAGAATTAATATAAAATGGTTTTGTTGAAAGATCATTAAATGCTTTATGATTATTATTATTATTTGAAAAATCATTTTCTGATTGATATATTTGTTTAAATTTAACTGGATGAAGAACATTTTCATTTCAACGATTTATTTCATCCCATCTATCGATGAGTTCTTCTTGTTTGACTGATGAACATTGATCAGAACTATTTATTGATGAAGATGATAAATAAAAATTAACACCTTTTATTCGAAAGAGTACTGACATTTTTTTTATTTTTTTAATAAATAAAATAAATTTTAGTAAGAAAAGAAAAGAAAAAAAAATTGTTTCTTCTTTTTCTTGTTAGTTACTTTTTATTTCCGATAGAAGATAGATACGAAGAAAAAAAAAAAAGAAGGCATTCTTTTTTGAAGATTTTCTTTCCTGTTTTTATGAATGTCAAGTTGTATGAGAAGTTTATTAATATATTTTCAATATAGATAAATATATAAAATGTTTAAATCAATATGATAAGAATTTTATGTTTTTATAGTTTTATTTTTAATTTGTCAATTTTGTTGTAAGAAAAATATTTATTTATCTTTATTTTTTTGTTGACGTTGATTTATTAGTCGACTATGAAATTTCTTTTTTTTAACTTAGAAAAATATTCGTTCAAATCATATTTTAACTATATGGGTTCATTTAGGATAAACAAAAAAATGATTTTTTTTTTCTAAAAGAAACGTTCTTATCGTTCATATTTAATCAAACAAGTTTCTGCTCACTAAAATTTATCTTAAAGGTATAATGAAATGAAAAAATCTGATTTATTCTATTTGTAGTTTTAATTGATTTAAAAAAAAAACATTTTTATTTTAAAATTTCTCAACAGTTGATTATCTATTAAAATTGATTTTAATATCAGAATATATATATTCTAGTTGATTAATTTTAATTCTTATTTAAATGATTAAAAAAAAAAGTCAAGAAAATTTTATCTTTATTTGTTTTTAATTTCGATTCGATTATTTCTTTTTTATTTGTCTCTAGTAAATAAAAAAAACATAAATTGGAATATAATTTCTATTGAATTAAATAATTGAGTTAAATACTTACCGAATAAATTGTCGTTGTAATTTAGCTAAACGTTCTTCTCGTTCAGTTTCTTCAAGAAGTTCTCGAACTTGTCGTTGAAGATCTTCTTCTAATTCTCGATGAATATTAGCACGCCATTGTTCATATAAATTAGTACCTTTTGTTTTTTAAATTAACATAATAAAAAGTTTGGTTTTAAGTAAAAA